TTTTTTAAACATTTTCCGTGTTTCCAAGTGTTTAAAAAACAGATCACCCACGGAATACTACTTAACAATAAAAAAGAATGAACTATGGATACACAGGACACCTTGGATGGATCTCATGGGCATTATACTGAGTGAAAAACGTCAGTCTCAAAAGGTTTCACACAGAATGAGTCCATGTATATGACATTCTAGGAATGACAGCATTGTAGAAATGGGGAGCAGATTAGTAGTTGCCAGGGATTAGGGATGGTGGGAGAGAAGGCGGTGGCTGTGATTAAAAAGGGTAACATGAAGAAAACCTTTGTGGTGATGGAAAAGTTCTATATCTTGATTGCAGTGTGGTTATGTGAATCTATTCATGGGATAAAATGACAGTGAACTATACACACACAAGGTACCAATGTCAGTTTCCTGATTTTGATATGGTACCATTGGGGACAACTGAGTGAAGGTCATGGGAGCTCTCTGTATACCATTTTTGCAACCTCTTATGAACCTATAATTATTTTAAACTAAAAGTCACCCCCCCAAAAAATGACAAAAAATAGATCATGTACTATTCTTATAGTCAAAAAGTTATCCTAAAATGTTAAGTAACACACAGATGAAAGCTAAAATAGTTATGACAAGATACCGTAATTGATGGGTGATAATCCATATAGAAAGTCTTAAGCAAAAATCCACCCGGTTCAGAAGGCGGAAGAGAAACCAACGGGAGAATGTGGAGAGTGTGGTGGAGAGGGAAGTGCACTCTGCCTCTTCTTGGCTGTGTGACTTCGGTGGGTCACCTCACCTCTCTGGGCCCAGATTCCTCATCTGTACAATGAGTTGCTGTGCAGATGAAAGGAGACAGCACTTGTGAAGCAGACAACATTCAATAGATGTGAAGTCCCTTCCTTCCTCAAGCCAGCCAAGGGCCTTGACAAGTGCACTGGCCTGGGAGGCCCCTGCCTTCACCTGCTGGGACGAGGAAGGGAGGCTGGTGCTGAAAGGCCCTTAGAATCCCATATATGCCACCAAGCATGCTATAAAAGTTTTTCAGCCCTACAACAGTTGGGAAAAAATACCCATTTTTCCCTGAGAAGGTTTTTCTAGAATTATATTTATCTTTAAGAATAATTTTTAAGGCCATCACAAATGTGGTGGCAGTGAGAGAAAAATCGTATGGCTTCAAAACAGAAACAGACAAAAACAGTAATTCCATTAGTATTTTTAAATGGTAAAAGATGAAGATAAATCTTTCTGCTATGGTAACTGTAAAACACAAGAGACAACTCAGGTTTTGAAGGGCAGTCATGCTGGCAGGTGGGGGTCACCTGTTCAGAACAGGCCATATAGGTAGGTGCACACACAGGGGTGACCTGAGGAGGTTTTGGGGAGCAATGGAGAAGACCGGCACTGCATGAACTCTGCAGGCTGAGAGCCACTAGGTTTGAGTGGCTGATTCACAGATGACACCCAAAAAAAGAATGATGTGCCTCAAGTCCTCAGGGCCTGCATGTGGCAGCTCAGGCCCTGCTTCTGGAAAGACATCAGCTTAGGGAGTGAGGCTGGCTTTCAGAGGAGCAATGTCTACTCTTAGAACCGTGATAGCATTTCAATGACACTTTTCAGTGTACAAAATGCTTCTAGAGAGCTGTTTCCTTGGCTTCTCCCTCCTGCTTTCAGACTCCCTCCATCCAGGGCCCTGCCTGGTTCCCAGTGGAAGGTCAGCCATCGGCCGCTTCAGCTCCTCAGTGACAGCAGCCCACTCCTTGTTGGACAGCTCCTGTCGTCAGAAAGCTCTCCTCACCAGCCAGGTGTGATGTCTCTGACCCAGACAATCAACCCCACACACAGCCTGTCACTCCGCGATTTGAATTCCACGCCTGTACATTTTAAAGATGAAAACATCTTTATGAGTCCCTTGTTGAAATGCAAATATGGCCGTGAACACCTAAAGCCCCACGTCAGTGAAGACCTTTGAGGTGGAGTGTTGGCAGGAAGCCTTGTGATGGAGACTGGAGGCCAGGAGGTCCAAAGACACTTTTTACAGGGGCTCTTTATATCCTCCAGGGCCTGAGTCACCTTGGGGAATAAAAGAGAAGGATCCAGAAAGGCAGATTCCTTTCTTTCTTGTATCTGTAAGCCTGGATGCTGGGGGGAAAAAAATCCTATCTGCAGTCAGAGACTGTCTTCCCTGGGGAGATTCAAGGGTCCAGAAACTTCAGATCAAGATGGTGCTGTAAATTCATGCACCAAACTCACAGCAATTATATAAAAAGATAGATTCAAAACAGGAATAGCCATGCTCGAAATCAGAATCAACATTTTTGTGGATCAGAATTTCAACAGAAACACAAGGGGCTACATAATGTGGAAGCCAGGGGTCTGGCACCAGAAGCAGGGGAAGCAGCCAGGAGTTTGACTCCCTCACTGCATGAGGGGCTAAATGAGACCCTTGTGAGGCCAGGGCCAAACCTCATGATGCTGGTTCAGTGACTGGACATGTAAAATTCCCACCACCATTACAGGATGAAAGCCTTGAGTCAGCAGCTTAAAACCTGGCTCTAGACAGGGTCCCAGGAGTGTGGGGAGAAGCTATCAACCCACTAAGCAGAGTGAGTATGCACAGAAAAATAAGTCCCACTTAAGAAAAGCCTGCAAACTCAAATTCCAAAACACATGAGGAAGATGAATGCAGATGTAGACAGTCAACAAAACTAATAATTGGTACAATGAATCCACTACAGACAAAAGTAAAATAATAGAATTATCTGAAAACAATTTCAAAATAAATACGTTTAGGCTCTTCAAATAAAGTCAGGAATAACACCCATACATACAAAAGAATAAGAAATTATAAATTAAAAACAAGCAGAAACTAAATAAAGCCATTTAGAAACACTGGGAATGAGAAACACAGTTGTTGAACTATACTGGAGAGACAGAATAAATCTAGATTACACATGGTAGAAGATAGGATTAATTATTTGGAAGCAAATGAACTGGGCATTCCACCTACGTTGCAACAAGAGATACATGATAGGAAAGAGCATTGTAGAAGTTAGATGAGGGGGGATACAGCAGACAAATTGCAGACACTGTTAATGCCCAGCCCATATTCCCTTGGCTGACCCCAGCAGTCACCTGAAGATGGGCTCTGTACACAATGACATCTTCCTGCATCTCTGCCTAAGTGTTTCTGGCCACGGGAGGATGCTCAGCTTGCACAAGGCCAGGTGAACTCCTGCGGGAGTTAGTTCCAAAAAAGACCCTCAACCAGTAGGGGCATTAGTTCATGATAAATACTCCAGCTTCCTTTCCCATTGGTAGGACAACTATGTGGCCTGTTTCACATAGTCTCCCACAGGCTCCACAGCGGGGCTGAGCCTCCGTTGGCCACCAGCAGCAAACTGCTCATGTTCAAATCTTTCACTGGCTTTTCTCCTTTTGTTGCCTCGCATCCCCACTTCTTCACTGCACTTCCCAAATAAACTACTAGCCTCCAAATCCTTCTCTTGGGCCCTGCTTTTGGGATACCCAAACTAAGAAAGCAAAATAACCATGGCTCAAGCAAAATACAAGTCCATTTCTCTCTCATGGAATGGTCCAGCACTAGGAAGTTTAAAGCTAAGAGGGCTGTTTCAGCTGGGCGCATTGGCTCACGCCTGTAGTCCCAGCACTTTGGGTGGCGGAGATGGGCGGATCACGAGGTCAGGAGATCGAGACCATCGATCTCCTGATGGTCTAACACTGAAATCCCGGCTCTACTGAAAGAAAAATACAAAAAATTAGCTGGGCATGGTGGTGGGCCCCTGTAGTCTCAGCTACTCAGGAGGCTGAGGCGGGAGAATGGGGTGAACCCGGGAGGTGGAGCTTGCAGTGAGCCGAGATAGCGCCACTGCACTCCAGCCTGGGTGACAGAGACACACTCTGTCTCAAAAAAAAAGAAAAAAAAAAAAGCTAAGAGGGCAGTCCATCAAAACTCGGGCTCCTTCTATCTGACTTCTACCCTATGGTCCAAGATGGCTGCACCAACTCCAGCCAGCTCAGCACCAACTCCAGCCAGCTCATGTATTTTTCAGATAGTAGGAAGAAGGCAGAAAGAATAGCATACTACCCTGCTTAAAAGACATTACAAGGAAGTTCCACAAGACTCCTGGCTATACTCATTGTTCAGAACTCAGTTATATGCCCGTATGTAGCTAAGTGGAAGACTCAGAAATGTTGTGTTTTTTTTTTTTTTTTTGGAAACAGAGTTTTACTCTTGTTGCCAAGGCAGGAGTGCGGTGACGCGGTCTCAGCTCACTGCCACCTCGGCTTCCTGGGTTCAAGTGATTCTCCTGCCTCAGCCTCCCGAGTAGCTGGAATTACAGGCACCCATCAGCATGCCCAGCTAATTTTTGTATTTTTGGTAGAGACGGGGTTTCACCATGTTGGCCAGGCTGGTCTCAAACTCCTGACCTCAGATGATCTGCCCACCTCAGCCTCCAAAAGTGCTGGGATTACAGGCATGAGCCACCATGCCCAGCCAAGAAATGTCATTTTTAACCCAAGTGGGCATGTGCCTAGCTGAAAGTTAGAGATTCTATTACTAAGGAAAAAGTGGAATAGACACTGGGAGACAACTGGCATTCTATAGAATGCCAAGCAGTTACGAAACACGGAGTAGAGACTGACAGACTGTTATGTAGGAGTTCCAGAACAGAGGGAGTGCAGGAGAAGCAAGATTACAGAAATAAGGACTGAGAATTGTCCAGAACGAGAGAAAGACATTGCTTATATTCAAAATACGCACTCAGTGCTGAACAGAACAAATAAATTTACACCTAGACACAGCGTAGTGAGACGATAGCACATCAAGAATAAAGAGAAAACATCAAGGCTATTGCAGTAAAAAAAGGCATTAGATGTAGAGGAAAACTAATTACTCATTATCAACCAGCAAATATGTATTGAGTGCTTTCTTCAAGTCACGTCTATTCTAGGGGTGGCCATCCAGTCCTGACCTAGACAAATAAGTTTAAATATCTATCATTTATTATCAGATAGGGATTGAGGCCCCCGGAGAAAAAACAAAGCAGAGCAAGGAATAAAAGTGATGGAGGGTGGGAGTGGGTAGGATGTCTTAGGGAAAATGCTCAGGGGAGGCCTCTCCGTAACAGTTGAGCCGAGACCTGAATGAAGTGGCACAGCAAGTTATGCACATTTCCGGAGAAGAGCATCCCAAACAGCGAACAGCAAGTACCAAGGCCCTGAGGTGTAAATGTGCTTGTTATGTTCGAGAAACAGCAAGAAAGCCAGTGATCCAGCAGAGTGAACAGGGGTGGCAGAATAAGCAGGTTGTCTGGAGAAGGCGTCTGGGGCCAGATCTTATGTGTGGGGCCTTGGTGCAGCAGTGCGTTGGTGTCAACTCAGACTGGCTCTGTCTTGATTCTTTGCATCCCTTCTCAACTCTGAGCTCAGTGATATCAGCTTAGAAGCTTGAAATCGGCCATGGAGGGGAATATGCACCACAATTAACAAATGCTACAAATCAGGGCTCTCTGCCTCTGCGAACTGGTTGTTACCAGCACAGCACCGCTCGTAGTTGTGGTGAGAAATTCAGACGTTGTTTGAATTGGAATCAGAAGCACTGGAGAGTTTTGAATGGCAGAATACTGCAACTTGGTTTCCTTCTCACAAGATCACTGTAGAGAACAAAGCCTAGGGTGCAAGAATGGAAGCAGGGAAATGGATTAGGAGGTTGTTGGGGTGGACCAGTTGAAAAAGGAATGGGGACAGTCTAGGAAGGCTACGGGGAGGAGGCAGTTTTAATCTGGTGTTATATTTTCTGGTATGATCTCCCTTACATCCTATTTAGCCTCTGTTGATAGACTGATTCCACTGGCTAGGAGGAACATATTGTCCTGGAAAGAGCATGGGATTTAGAATTAGTGGGCCTGGATCTACTTCTCAATAGCATCCCTTGAGGAAATTATTTAACGTCTTTTGAGTCACAGTGTCCTGTGCGTAAAACTGAATACCTGAAAAGGTGGCTGTGAAGACTAAATGAGATAAGGAGTGTAAAATTCCCATTTATCCTCTGCTGGGGCAAAGAGCCCTCATCCTCAGCCCCCCAGGGTCCCTCCTGTAAAGATCCATGCCTAGAAGCACAAAGAATGAAACTGCCAGGATCAGATTCCCAGGGGCTGGTTGCTGGTCTCTGCCTGTTCCCAGGTGGGCCACCAGCGCCACCTCGTGTCCGGTCTGAGTTATTGCAGGCCAGCCTTTCCCTGGATGATTTCTTGATCCTGAATCACCTCCGTTGCCAGATGCAGCCAACAGTGCATGAAGTGTCCTAACATTCATTGTCTGACCTGCCAACAAAGTGTGCTCTCTGCTCTCCCCCGAGCCTCCCCTGCATGTCAGTCTCACCTCCACATCCAGATTGTAGAGGGCACAGGGCCTGTGTCTTCAGCATCCATTCCTTTTACTTGAGCAATTACTTTGTGCCACTCATTCTGACATAACCCTTAAGGCAATTATATCCTTATTCCTTTTCTGGGGAAACTGAGGCCAAGACATAGAAAGTGACTTGCTTGAGATCACTGGGCAAACAATTGAGGTAAGATTTGATTCCAGGACTTCTCAATGCAAACCCAAGGTTTTTTTCCACAAAAACATCCAGCACAATGTGGGTACCCAGAAGATACTCAGTGGATCATTTCATTTTTTAGGCTTTTTTAAAGAAGTGAGGCAAAAATAACTGAACAGGAGCCAGGGGACCCACTCTTAGGACTCAGATTCAAGCTCTGTCTTTTACAACTTGCTGAATAACGTTGGTTGGATCTGGGTAACTCTGGGGCCTTCCGTACTCCATGAGGAAAGAAAAGGGATTAGACTAGGTGGTCCCGAAGTTTCCCTCGGGTCCTGATGTTCAACAGTGGCAAAGTTGAGGAGAGGGCTCTAGACAGGGGTTAAGATTGTGGGCTCTGAGGTCACTGCTTGGGTGAGTCCAAGCTTCACAATAGCTATGAGGCCTTCAGCAAGTTATTTATCTCAGCCTCTGTTTCCTTGTCTGGAAAATGAGGATGATGAGAGGAATCATCTCTACCTCATAGTGTTGCTCAGTTATCTATCTATTAGACCGTCTTAAAACTGTGCTTGGTACATAGTAGGTAATACATTTATGTTCATTTTTCAAAAATATTGATTCTGGCTGGGCGTGGTGGCTCATTGAGGGATGATGACATTGAGGGCCATCTGCTTCACTCAGTCCACCAATCCAAATGCTAATCTCTGCTAGTTAGACATATCCAGAAATAATGTTTCATCAACTATCAGGGCATCCTTTAGTCCAGTCAAGTTGATATATAAAATTTACTATCACAAGATCTATGTGTAGATATAGACAGATAAAGCTGCCCACACATAGATACTATTATGGGATTATTCCCCAAGCAGTGGCATGGAGTTGTAAATAGAGCACAGAGATTGGGGTCAGGAGTTTCAAGTATTAGGGTGGGGAATTGTATGTATTGTGTAATAAATTGCCACAAACACAAAGTCTGGTAACATCACATGCTAGGTATCTAAAAGGTTCTATGGGTCAGGGATCTGAGCTAAGTCTTCTTCCCATGGTCTCACAAGACTACAATCAAGGTGTTTCCCAGGGCCAGAACCTTGTCTGAGGCTTGGCTAGGAAAGGATCTGCTTCCGTGCTCACTCAGGTTATTGGCAGAATTCAATTCCTTATGGTGGTAGGCTTAAGAGCTTCAGTTTCTTGTTGGCTACCAGTCAGGGTCCACCCTCAGCTCCTAGAGATGCCACAGTTTCTTGGCGTGTGGCCTCCCAACATCGGCAGCCTGCCACATGGCAGCTTGCTTCTTCAAAACCAATGGAGAGGCACAGAGAGACTCAGCAAGACAAGTGCCACACTTTCATGTAATATACCCATGTCATCGCTGACATGGCACCATCTATCCTACCCACCTCATCACCTTTGCTGCATTCTACCAGTGAGAAGCAAGTCACAGCACCACTGTAGCCACCTCCCCACCACTCAAATGGAAGGAATTACAGAAAACCATGACATCAGCAGGTGGGATGGTGAGCGACCTCCCCAAGAGCCTGTCTGCCACAGGAACTGAGAGGAACCTTGTGAAGGATTTTCCTTGTGAGGCTAGTAGACACAGACTTGTGGGATAATAGAGCTCTGAGGAATCATGTCTCACCATTTCACATTACCTAGAAGAAAACAGAAATCCAGACAGCAAAGTCAGACTAGAATCCAGACCTTCTGACTTCCAGTTTCCAACATACTCTACTGGTTCCATTTCTACTTATTGTCAGGACTTTGAAGCCACAAGCTGGAAAGTTAGATGGCACTTTGAAGTTATAGCTCAGTGGATATTGGAATATCTTAGAATACCTTCAGAATAAATCCAAATCCTTAGCATGACATTCAAGGCCTTTTTTTTTTTTTTTTTTTTGTCTCACCTCTTGCCATTCTCCCCTGGTATGATGGCGCCATGTCAGCGATGACATGGGTACATTACGTGAAAGTATAGCATCTTTCAACAGAGAACTATTTGGTGCTTCCTGGTGGTGCCTCCCTCCCTTTACATATTCTCCACCAGCAATGCCCCTCATTTTCTATGCCTAGAAAATAAACAAAGCGGGAAGTGGCCAAGATGGCCAACTAGAAGCAGCTAGCGTGAGTGGCTCTCACAGAGAGGTACAGAGGGGTGAGTAAATACAACACCTTCAACTGAAACATTCAGGTACCTGCATTGAGATTAATCAAGGAAACAATTTGACGCACAGAGAATGAAGAAAAGCAAGACAGGACGATGGCCCACTTGGGAACAACACAGAGCCCGGGGATCCTCCCTCGCCCAGGGAAGCTGTGAGTGAATGAGCGATCCTAGGAAACCATGCTTCTCCCACAGATATTTGCAAACCTCAGATCAGGAGATATCCTTATGAACCCACACGACTACAGCCTCCAGTCTTCTGTCTGACAGAGCTATGTGGAGTCTTGGTAGAGCAGCTGCTCAGGCATGCATAGAAACCCTGGAGCCTTAGATACTTGGGCTTTCCAGCAAAAGTAGCTGCAGCTCTAGCAAAGTGGGAGGTTAGACTCCTGTACATACCCATAGGAAGGAGGCTGAATCCAGGGAGCTAAGCAGAAACAGCCCACAGGCCCCACTTCCTTGGCACCTCACAAGATAAGACCCATTGGCTTGGAATTCCAGCAAGCTACCAATAGTGATTGCATCTCCCTAAGAAGGAGCTCCCCATGGGAGGGGTGGGTCGCCATCTTTGCTGTTCAGGCATCTTAGCCGTTCCAGCCTTCAGGCTTTGGAGAGTCTAAGCCAACCTGGGGCAGAAGAGATCCCCCAGTACAGAACAGCAGCTCTACCAAAGTGTAGCCCGACTGTTGCTTTAAGCAGGTACCCCATCCAATTCCTCCTCAGTGGGTGGGAACTTCCAACTGGGACCTCCAGCCACCCCTACCTGAGCTCTGCAGCCACCAGAGATCTGAATTCCCCCAGGACTGTGCTCTTAAAGGGAGGGGTGGGCCACCATATTTGATGTTTGGGTGACTTAGCTGTTCCAGCCTTTGGACTTCGGAGTGTCTGAAGCAACCAGGGGCTGAAATGGATGCCCTGCACAGCACAGATGCTACACCAAAACATGGTCAGACTGCTTTTTTTTAGTAGGTCCTGATCTGATCCCATTCCTCCTTGCTGGGAAGAACCTCCCAACTGGGGTCCCCAGTCACTTCCTACAGGTGCCTTTGGGCCCACAACAGGCTTGTACCTCTCTGGGACAAAGCTCCCAGAGGGAGGGACTGGCTGCCATCTTTGCTATCTTATAGCCTTCACTGGTGACATCTCCTGGTTCTGGAAAATCCAAGGCAACTGGGAACTGGAGCAGGCCACAAGCATACTGCAGCAGCCCTGTGGAAAAGTAGCCAGAGTGTTAAGTGGGTGCCCATTCCCATATCTCCTCACCAGGCAGGTTCTCGAGGCCTGGGCCTCCAGCCATCCCCTGCCAGAGCTATCATACCAGTACCAACTCAGCAACTCCCTGCACAGAGCCTCCAGGGGCAACTGATAGCCTCTCAACCATGCCTCTGCAGTGGAACTGCCCTTGCCACCCTCGGACTAATGAATGGGCAAAGACCCTAAGTGCCTTATCCATACCTCCAAGCTGTAGTTGACCCAACGAGATGAGGCCAGTCCATCTCCTATGGGTCCCACACACCCACCACAGCTTGTCACCAGACAGGGAACCACTGGCTTCAGCCCATAGCACAAACCCTGCATCTTGGGCTGACTGCGCTGAGTGATTACTGACCTGCATTTCCCTGGGGTGGAGCCCCTAGGAGACAAGCAAACGATCCTTGGCCACAACTACTACTAAGATCTCTTCCTCTGTTGCCTCTAAGCTGGGGAAGAAACATTAACACTGAGATCTCCCCAGAGCTGCAGTGGGCAGCCCAGGAGTGTCAAGTCATGAGCTACAGCCAGCACTCAAGAAGGAGAGGAACCCACACTTTCAGAGCACTGAGAGGAAACACAGCTGCAAATCTTAGGAAACATAGGGGAGCCACACAACTAAGCAAAAGTCTACCAACTGACCAAGAATCCCAAATGCCACCTGCTGGCTCACACCCCAAAGCTCCAACACCAAAAATACCTCACTAACATATCCCC